GTAGCCGCAAAATGGTTTGTTCGACACATCTACACAGTTAGTCCATTCGAGTGTTGTTCATTACACAACAGCTTTACAGTGTCGACGAATTCATGAAAACTCGGTATCTCATCGCGAATACAAACAGTGCGCTGTTTAAAACACATATCAGTGGCCTATTCACCCAAGGAATGGGGTTCGACGCAGGATCGATCAGTAGTAATCATATAGTAATATCTGTAGGATTTGCAACCTTGGTGGTTTGAGGCATGCACGTGTAATGAAGTTAATTTTGTGAAGTTTACTTTATCCAGTCATTTAGATGATGTTGCAAGTGGTGTCACGCGCATGATGATGAGTAAATCTGCCGTCAGCGTTCCTTCTGTCTACTGTAGACATACGCTCCAATCATTTTTGTTAGCCTACTAATTTGTTGAATGACTTTTCCAAACACACACAAAGATTGTCGTTAATACGGGGGTATACCGTATGCGAGAAGCAAGGTAAGTTTTCAGCAGATACAGGTGTAACGGTAATAATACTGATGAGGGTAGGGCACGCGAGTAGTATGTGTTGTTCGTAGAATTTCGCTTTGCGTTTTCTGAAAAGGGGAGATCTGTTGCGGAATTCGTGGAGTCACTTCGTAACATTTGCTTGGATTTGACCGAGGAATGATTGGAGTCCATGAATCTCCAGGAAATTTCAAGAAGGCGAATTCGGGAGAAGATGGGTGTCCAGTTTTTGTAAATAAGATGCAAATTAGAGTTTTGCTTCCCTGTTCAATGGTCTGTAACCGGTCAGTTGACATTTGCTAATAAATAACTCCGCAGTGAAGGCCTTCTTCCTTTCAGTTGCTGCCGTGACCAGGATGAGGATGAAGATCCCGTGGCCGCAACCCTTTGAGGATGGGGTGTTCAAACCTTCCTGGAGGACTTTGAGGAGGTTGCGGAGGCTGCCGGGCTGAAGACCGACCGGGGTAAGTTGGCAGCACTGAAGACCTTTCTCAGGGGCCGGGCGAAGTCGGCCCTGGATGTTCCGGAAACACAGTCCTTTGGATAAGATGGATTTTTCTCGGAAAGAGGGATTAAATATACCTTCTCTGATACGTCGCTCCTGTAAGAGGGAGCCACTAATACTACTCTTTTCAAAAATGCACCAGCAACGTTATTAATAATACTCAAACATTTTGGGACCAACGTAGATTTCGTGTCATAGAGCGCACTGGAACCAAGGCCAGGTCGCATAAACGGAAGTGGCTGAATCTACGTTTCCTGAAGTCATTCAATGCGATTGGTTGGTCTCCGTTCAGTTGGCTGTTGTCTCTTTCCCGAGACCGGAAAATAGCCCAGAAATATACCACAAAGACAGGACAACCTGAAAATACTCATCAGGCAGCACGCTCACACAAGCTGCGCTTTTCTGATACATTTTCAAGCTGTGTATTGATTGGTACTGAAGTCCACGTCGTAACGGTTATCCATCATCATAAAATTTAAAAAAAAATAAGCTGCTGAATCAATTATTCCCCCGAGGGTAATTCATCAGTCTTGCGTCAATCTGATACATTTCTCCTCGTTGCATTTCCGGCATTCAGGATAGGTAGAGAGCACAACTGTGGAACAAAATCATACCGACATATGGTGACAAAGCTGTGTATTGATTGGTAGTGAAGTCCACGTCGTAACGGTTATCCATCATCATAAAATTAAAAAAAATAAAATAAGCTGCCAATTATTCCCCCGAGGGTAATTCATCAGTCTTGCGTCAATCTGATACATTTCTCCTCGTTGCATTTCCGGCATTCAGGATAGGTAGAGAGCACAACTGTGGAACAAAATCATACCGACATATGGTGACAGTTCGCCTACGATCGACCAATTCAACTAGACTAAAACATGAATTTAAAACGGGAAACGGTTAGACCATAAGTAAGAGGATAAGTAAAACATAAGGTTGAAAGAAACCCGGGGACTGCGCCTACCTGATGAGCCCCAAGAAGGGAGAAACCGGTCGTGGGTTGTCGATGGATTTTCAGCAACCTTACGAGTAGTACATTACAAATATACATGTATCGCAATATTTCAAATATCGTAGCGACTGAAACATGAGGCGGCCTGGTGCAGCACATTCAGTTGCCTGAGAACATCATAAACGAGAGATTCAGCTGGGTCCCAGGTGAGTCTCTCGAAAGAACCAAATTAGTTTGCAGATGAGTGTATATTGGCTAATTTGGTGCAATTTGGTTTCAAGTAGAACATAAAGTTGACGGAAACCCGGGGACGCCCCAAGAAGGGCGAAACCGGTCGTGGGCTGTCGAAGAGTTTTCAGCAACCTTGTGATTGGTTTCCTTCAGGAAAACGGTTGGGTTATGAAAGCGGTAAATAGCAGATAGTGGTGCATCTTCTCCCTGATCCGATGCATTGAGTACAGTCTTCCATATTCTACCGGAACGTAGTTCTGTTTCTGTTTCAGTTTGCTTTTCGCGCAGCTCCAGACAAGGTGAAAGAACCACTGACCAGCTATCTTGCATTCTTGATTCTGTTCCGGCGCTCGCAACATGTCAGTGAATGTTCTTGTTGTTATTGTGAGGAGATTTTGTAAGTTTTATTGGGGAAAGTGAAGTTACTCTACACTGAAATTTGAGGAGCACTGTATGGCAATTTCATCCTTATCAGTAGTACACATGCTGTGAATCTCCAGGAGATTTGAACTGGTGACCCCCTGATTTGTAGTCGGAGATTGAAACGCCTGTCTTCAAACGACTGATCACTGACAGTATGGAGAGCCACCCGACCTTTGGCCACGGAATTCATATTCTGAATAATTCCTTGATTGATGACTTCCAAAGTATAACGTTTAACCGTCCTCATTCTAAGCTACTTATCGTTTGTCGACAACCGAGAGGCTGTGAGTTCAAATTTTACTGGAAATTAGTGGCATGTGCACTATAAATGATTCGCAATACGAACAAACAAACTGTACAGTGCTCTTTGAATTTGCCTCCTGGATTGGTGTCGTTCATAGGATGAAAGCTACGCTGGTAAGTAAGTAGTAAAATTGCACGTTCGTTTCGAAATGGAAAACTTGACAAGAGCTATGACTAACCGCCAGTGGTAAGATCAACATTTTGGCATAATTTTCCCATACAGTATTCTTCTACAGCACCAGATTAGCGACTGTCGCTCCTTTTTCTGTTGCTGAGTTTAGGCTCAGTGTTGTAAACATGAGTATTTGAAAATGGTTGACTTTTTGAAAATTCGATCTTCATTTTCCTAGATCACGTGGCCGACCAAAAATCCATATAAGCCTAATTCATGCAATAATGCATCAGTTACTAAAAATCACCCTCATGGTTTCAGTGGTCAAATGTTTGCCGCCTCCAAACCACAGATTGCCGGAACCCTAGTGTAAACAGAACGGCCCTTCTCCGCGAAGTCGTTCATTAACAAATACCAACCAACCATCGGACAGGAAAGTAAACGTCTGTTGTGCATGCAGTTTCCAAACACAACATTCTTACGCGTTTTCTCGAAATTTCATGGATATTCGTTGACTGCCATGCAAGTGTAAACGAACGATGAAAGGCAGTTCCACAAGTTCCGTAACAAACCCCACCTTCCATTGGACGCAAGCCGGTTACGAGAGAATCACATACTACTCGCATGTCTTCTCAATAGTATCCGCCGTTACACACCTTTCCCATTCAAAGGTCGCATGAATGCCACCGATTTCCATTTACCTCCTTTGGATCGGCCCAAGCAGCTGTGGTCTATCCGGCAGCTCTTCGGGCGTATCATTCCGCTTGCGAAGCCGAGTACTGGTCACTCTTTTCAATCCTCAGCCGTTCTGGATTGTATAGACGTTTCCCCGATGGTTGATAGCGATGAATGGACCTTGCCACCAAATGCACAGCTTCCGCGACCCCAGGCCATTCTTTCCGGAATTCTGAGAATCCTTCCACTTGACCCTCGCGCCATTGGGGAGTGGTCGTGCCTTTCCCCTTGTCGTTTTCTGTCCACTCCTTTCTTGAAAGGTGGTCAAGTTTTCTTGAGCAGTCCTCCATTCGTCTCTCAGCTCCTCTGAAGACAAACCTGTTGCTGGCCACAACCCAATTTTCTGATCAACTGGAAGGCGCGGCCTTCGACCGTAAATCAGTATGAAGGGGGATGTGCCTGTGTTTGGCTGTATGATATGCTAACAACACCATCGGCAGGTTCACTTCCCAGTCACCTTATTTGGCAACCAGCAACTCCTTGATCGTTCAGTTATTGTGTTTGGTTAGGCCGTTTGCTTGTGTGTTAGGGTGCTTTCTTTAGCCATCTGATGCCCGGCTTCTGCAAGCAACTCATAAGCTCTTTGCTATCAAACCCATGTCCCTGATATGTTAGGATCATTTTCGCACCCCGTGGTTGGCCACGATGTGATGGATTACCATTCTACTGATTGTCGTCCCCCGTTGCTTTCGTACGACAGGTATGTCAAACTCCGCTGCAAGAGGCATGGTCCATCTTCCGAGGACTCTTTCTAGCTGCATCCAGGGCTGACTTCTCCCAGCCTCTGTGGAGGGTTTTTAGTGCCGCCAACTTACCACAGTCTGCTTCCAATCCAGCTGTCTCTGCAGCATCCACGAAATCCTTCGGTAAGGTCTCCCCATCCTCTGGCCACTGGATCTTCATCCGTATCCTGGTCAAGGCACAAAAATTAAAGCAGCGAAACCCTTTGCAGGTTGATTTCCCAAGCCGGCACCGTAAACAAAGTTACACCGGCTGGCTCCACTACTCAGTTGATGTGTATTTACCATTTACGTCTTTGATAATCTTCTGAAATTTAGTAACCCCATCGGGTTGATTAGAAATGCTAGTCGTGATTTTTACGGCTAACTTTACATAATCAGTCAAGATTTCCTGGTTTGTGGGAAGTTATGAGGTGTTAGTAATCCACAATTGAACCCTGAGTGACTTTATAAGATTTTACTAGTAAACCGTTTACTGATTCAGTAGAAAAGGCATGCAGAGACTTACAATCTGGTTGAGTTGATCTGGCCGAAGCGGTTCCGAAATCTGAAGTGCAAGAGGAAAATGAGAAGAGGGTTAGGATCGAGCAAACACAGTCCTCTTTAAAAATGACGTAAGCTGAGTGTAAGATAGTGCGGAAAATCGAACAGTTTATTAAAGCCTGATAAGGGCAAGAGAAATGCAATAGTTGTAGGATTGCCTTTCTTTTCGTGTAAACTTTGAAAAGCCATGAGTCTGAGCAGTACTTTATGGTGTTTTTTGTCATGGCATTCCAGTACTGATCATCTTTAATGATTGCGCAGCATCTGTAGCACTTCATCGACCAATGGGACGCAGAGCAATTTTCTGCAAGCAACCAAGATCAGTTTCTTCAAGTAAAGCTCCTCTGCCGTAGCAGTCGACAGGCAATGTAAAAATTCCTTGCTTCCATTGAAAATCATCAGTACCCTTCATGAGGCGGTCCACAAATTCGTACCCGTCACATTCCCTGCATTGGTTGGAGACTCCGAGCAAGTGTCTAAGGATAAACGCAACTCACAATTTGCACCACTATGAGATTATGGTCGACCTGCTAATGAATATAAAACGATTGCTCTGCAAAGGTACAACAACGAACTGCCTGAAAGAATCCTCTGAACTTCACCACAGAACCCCTGAGATTCTCGCTGAGCAGTTTCCAGCAAATTGATGAACGTGGGGACTGAGTAAGATTCTCAGTGCGTGAGTTCACGCATACAGACCTGCATAAGTACCATCACAAAACCAAAAATTATGGAGGCATGGGAATGAATCTACGAAGGACAATTATATAGTGAATATAGCCATTGTAATGACCAGCATTCGTTAAGCATTTCACTTTTTCAAGGTCATTTGAGGCAGTTGAGCACTCGACCTAGCCGCGATCAAACTACTCATCGGGAATTATTATTTTTCAGGAAAGTAAATAATTGTAATTATAATTGTAATTATAATACCAGTCGGAGAGGATCTTCATTAGAAACAAACCAGCCCTTTCTTCACTTCAACCTTGTGCTGAAGAGAGTTAGTCCTTCAAGTCAAGCCACTCCACGCTGTTTCACCTTCATTCAGAATCATCATAAATCCTGATCAGCTACTCATGCCTGAACAGTTAAGTGGTTTCGAAACTGCTCACTACTGATGATTCCCAATAAGAACGGAGCAGTTTTACAGTGCTTGTCGGCTCTTCAGCATAGATGCCCTCACTTACTGGACAAAACCTCCATTATTGATTACGATATCATGCAACGGAGGAAATCAGGGCTGTGATATTTATCAATGTTTAGATCAGCCTAATTATTGGGTCTAATTATTGGGCCGTGACACTTTTTTACGGTGCACACATACGTTCGGGGATTCCGGTCAATAAATGTGTGCTAATGATCCACGCAGAGGCCATCGATCAACCCATTCAGATCACTCTAATTTTGTCGATTAATTATAATGCCATAATATTCCGGATTCTTGTAACCCAGTATAGATCCCCAAATTAGCCGTAGTGTCCAAAGCGTTTGGAAGCATCTCCGCACCAGACTCTCTCGGTTAGTTTTCAAACAAAACGCCTCTTGAGACTGAACGAGTGATCCGAAAAACAGACCATCAGGTGAACAAAGAGAAGTGGATTCAGGTGCGTTGGTCTGTGTTCGGAGTGCGTGGGCACGCGTAACAACACATTTTGACCGATAGACGATCAGTTAAATTGACATTTGATCCCATGCCCCCCACCAACATGGTACTTAGCGACCAGTTAGAGTGGCCCTTTTCCCGGATGATATGTTTCACATCACTGTTTTGATTTTCCGGTCTTACAGAATCTACAGAATCAGCTCTGTATCGACCACTTATCTACTATTGTGAAATTTTATCTGAGGGAACTGACGGTGATTAGATGTCACAAACATGGATACATTTGATGTATCGATGGGTATGAGGGAAACAGCATGAATCTTCGAACCAAGGTGAATATTTTTCCGGCCTATCTAGTCCACCTGGTGAATCTCAAAGAATCAGCTGCATCTCACGAAACTTCAGAGAGTCTCGAACCAGGGACCGCCTGGTTACCTCCTGGTTTGACCTTTTGGACCGTTCGGGCACGAGTGGCTGACAAGCGGTGTGATCAGCTGGTACCTAGACAGCATATGGTAACTCTCGCCCTTCAATCATGGGGTCTACGTAGTCACCTACTGCCCGGCCCCTCGTGCAGTACCGTAATCCTACGTAGTCACTGCCCGGCCCCTCGTGCAGTACCGTAATCTCCGTTAAAATTGCCAAGACTCTCTACACATGTGACGACCTTTAGGTAGCTCATGGGAAAAATAAAATTCACGCGAGGAGTGAAGGTGCCATCTTAGAAATCGATATTCGGAAGGTAAGTTAACACATGGGACCAAGCAATATGTGCCGCCTAGCCAAAGGAACAGTAGCGCTATGTCGGGTCTGTCACGCTGCTGGTCAGTTTCCCCCTTTGAACACTACTCATCCTGTGGTTCATTCCCAGCAGTATTCAGTATACAAAATTGTACCAGGGATTTAGATATCTAAGATTGTATACTCAGGGGTTCATAAGCTGGAATGAAAAAGTGCTATTACTTAGGATTAACTCTGTGTTCCTTTCCACCCTCTCTGCACAATTAAGACTGTATTGAATGTTTTTAAGTCCGTTTAACGGCACTTTCACCGAAAATCCACGTTTTTTTCAAAATAGTTTGTCCCTTAGTTGGCGAGTTTACTCATTGCTGCATAATTTTTGGTTTTGTGATGGTACACATGCAGGTCTGTGTGCGCGAAATCGTACGTTGAGAATCTGTAGCCACCCAGTCACTCATATACTTGACTGTCCAGCTCACAGTCGCTCACTGGATCACGAGACTTGTCTTTTTTATACTCAAACCACGTCACATTAAGCTGTCTCATCGGATGTCGATTGGCTGCACCGCCTAGTGAGCGGTGCAGGTCCAAGCCCACGGACAGTGATGGAACACGTGTAGCAGTCGTACTGCAGAGAAAAATACGTTCCCGCCGTCCGGATTTCCGCCAAGGGACTCTCGCATACAATAATTTCCTTTTTGACTTGCTCGCATTTCGCATTGTATTTATTTTTATATGGGTTGCAACCCTCCAGTGTCAACCATACTGAGAACTTTTATTAGTACATACACCAGATTTGTATTATGGCTATCACCATCTGTACACTAATAAATCTAACTCAGTCCCCAGGGTACCGTTTATTCGGGTTTCCCCGTCCACGTTCGTCAAGTTGCTGCTCAGCGAGTAACCCGGGAGTTCTGTGGTGAAGACCGGCATTGAATTCTTGCGGTTAATCACTGTACCTTTGTGGAGCAGTCGTTTCATATTCATTTGCACGCCGCCCCTATTCACATACTGATGCACATTGTGAGTTGTGCCTATCGGTAAACACCTGCGATCGAAATATCTTTGCGCACATTTTATACCCTAAGTTTAACTCACTTTGTGATCCGATAAATTGATACTTCATTGCTCACATTTGAAAAAATGTAGAAATACCTACTGTGTCCAAAATGACTAAGGAACAGGCTGTTCATTAAACTACCACACCAAACTTTTGACAAACTGATAGTTTAGTTTACATCCAAAGTGGAAACTACAAGCTTACAGACCAGAGCTAAATTATTAAGGGGTATGCATGCATAAATGGGATAAAGCTGTGCACACAATTAACGAGTGAGGCAAATCAATGCTTTAAAACTGTTAAGACACAAGTCACCAATACACACACAGAACAAAAGTGAGCAGTGTGGGGGAACGTTGGACCTGCTCTTCTCTATATTCACGCAACTGAGAGGTTACCATGATTTTGAAGCGAAGACTAGACGGGCGGTTTTGCTCCTAGCCTTCGAAGAGTTTGGATGGCTGTTAGGAATGTTAACGACGAACGTGGATAAGGAACAACCGGATACTGGGAGAGTTGTAACCAAAACTGTATACTCCTCATCGGAGAGCGTATTGAGGGCATTCCGCCCCACTACAAATCGTTCCAAAGCAGATTGACAGACAACGATACGTTGTTTCAACGAAAAAGCTCGAAAAAATTGGAGTACACTTGATCAGCTCACCAATGACCTGAACGCGGTTCCCATGAAATCTTTCTATGCACAGTAAAAATTCAACAAATTGAGCGAGTGTATGGGAATGCGGTAACTGCCTACTTGTGACAACATACGGTTTTTAGGTTGCTGTTGAAAGACCTCTTGCCTATCCGAAACAAGCGCCATATTAATCTGACCAATCAGGTGGTTCAAGAAGCATAAGTGAGTAAGCAAGTAGACCATAAGGTTGACGGAAACTCGGCGACTGCGCCTACCTGATGAGCCCGAAGTGGAAGGGCGAAATCGGTCGTGGGCTGTCGAAGAGTTTTCGGCAACCTTGTGAGTAGTCTCCTTTATGAAAATACACTGCGATATCTTGAATATCGTGCTAACTGAATCATGAGGCGGCCTGTGTGCAGCACATTCAGCTGGAGGCACCGAATAAAGCTTTGCACAGAGAATGTGGCACACATAAAAAGCCGCAAGGGCCATACCTCATGGTTATTCAACAAACGGGGTTTAGCTCCAGTGACTTTAGTTCATGAATTCCGTTCATTCAGCATGGTACACTTTTACCCAAAGGCAAAAACTATACGCTGGAGTTATTGTTGAGTTTTATTGCCTTTCAGGAAACGAAATAAAACTAAATGGAAGCATTTTAGACAGCTTTCCAATCCTTTGGAAGGAAGATACATTTGAAAGCTTATTGAAAAAAAAACTTGGAAAAACGATTCACTCTGGGTCATAGCCAACTTTTCAACAAATGGGAGTACGACTTGGTGAATGAGTCATTATTTACGAGTGATTTAGTGTGATGTTTGCGGAAGAGATAAAAGAATAATTAACTCTGTGTGTTTCGTACACAAATGACGATAAACCAATGAACTAGTTTTATTGATAATCTCGATGCTTTGTAGATAAAAATTCGCGCGTTCTGTCCTCATAACAATAGACTGGGCG